AAAGCGTCCTTTTGTATATCAGAACTGCAATTGGTCGGCGCATATGCTGATACGACGAACAGACACCTTTTGGTGTTGCTTCCCTTCCGGACGCTGATTGAACCCTGGAGACGCACTGCACATAAACGACTGTTGACGGGGATCCAATCGATTAGAGAGGACTCCGCCCCATTACTCGGTACAATACCTACCCCGCGCTGACCTACTGAACGAGCTTCATCGTCACCTGATGTGCGAAGAACGTATCTCGTCGACAAACCTGGCGCGCTCAAGTGGCTTAGAGTAGTAGGATCCTGGATCCGAGTTTCCGACACGCAGCAAATATCGATTCCTAAGGATTCCATTGTACGAGCCAGATATGCTTGTTGATCTAGCTGCATCAATATCCTCACGTTGAAGGCCCTCCGATTCAGTGATTGACGAGGCTTTAGAATCTGCAATCCATTCCGCGGTAAATCACTTATAGTGCTATTTGGCAATGATCTTTGGCGAGTGACATCCAAGTTGCTTGAGGGACTATTACAGGTCGGTAGAAGGGGTAAAGGGAGTGGGTTGGGAACGGAAGACAAAGAGTTAAACAAAGATTGGGATGTCTGAGCAGTAGCCCACTTATCACTGCCCACCCCGCTCGATGCAATGGGCAGCGCGGTCCTGATTATCCTGCGCGATGACCGATGCAGTATAAAATTATTTTTATTTTGTGTATTTTGCGTATACCCCATAGTCGTGAAGATCTGCTGATCAGCGATGGTGGCCAGTAACCTAAGCCCCGGGATTTGGAGTGGGAACCACATAAGGCCCTGATTGCTTAGGCCTGGTACTGAACGACAGCGAAGCTGTTTACCATCAAAATTGGGTGGCCGTGGAGGGGTTCGAATCTCGAACTCTACAGTCCAAAGCAAGTCGGCAACAATGACCAAACCAATGTGCCACCATCAATTTGGAACAATAATGGCTCAAATATTTAAAACGATATTAGATCTCGCCGACTTAGTTATGCAAATTTTCAAAGTCGGGTGGTGGTGGCAGGGCTCGAACCTCGGACCATAGGGTCCAAAAGGAGCCGGTGGCAGCGACTAAACCACCGCGCCACCAAGAACTGGTTGAAAACTAGCGCAAATGTTAGTGAATGATGCTTATGAGTGGCCTATTATTGTTTTTTACTACAGAAAGGTGAAAATCAATTAGTGGTCTATCATGAAAAATGGAAACCCAAACCTTGCGTTTTGGTGTACAGGTTGGGATTACCATATATTGTGAAACGTGACCGTATGTTACATAACAAGCTGCGTGTCAAAGACTTGATAAAAAGTGAGCGGTGAGGGACAGGAACATTCATTAGTGTTCACGCGCATACGCGGCCACAGTGAGCGATGTTTACCGAGGCAGGTCGCGATTGGAGAACATCAAGGGAAGTCAAACTAAAATCTGGCATGAAAGTATGAAAACCCTAACCAGGAGAGTAGGTCACACAGGTCCCGTTAAGCTCCCTGGCTGGGAACCCCGAGATCATAGTCACCGATGGTTAGATACACTGAGCGATATGGTTGAATGTCGCAAACAGTGACGCTTATACATCTCATTACTCTTGCAGCTTCAGTGTATGTGATTTCGCTATCTTTCGCTTGAATTTGCTCTCAATATTCCTATCTTCATTCTGCTGTTTTACAGATATACACGGAATCAAGTTCCCGCACTGAGGGTACAGTTCTGAAAGCCCATTAAGTTTGTGACAAAGATAGTCATGTGATAAAAGGCACAACCAAGATGGAGCGCAAGCCAGTCAAGAGTTATGGCACTTACAGTACGTCCGTGAATTCATCATTATAATCCGAGAACGCATGCGCTTCAATCTCCGAGTCGGAGGGAGTAAACAACGACTGAGACGCTTCCGCACGTTGTACTGGATCAGATGAACCGACACCGTCCTTAGTTCTGTTCTGCGAAGACTTTCCGACGGGTTCGTCACACGAACTATCTGTGTACTCGTCTGACTCGCCTACCGGTTCAAGGGGTCCCGGCGGAGAAGAGGTCGGAGAATCCGGAGCCAAGGAGATAAACTTGTGTGAGAAATATTCTCTCTCATCAAACGGCTCGTCTAGGGAAGCCTGTGAATGGTTGAAGGAAAAGCAATTTGGAATGGGAATAGGTCTTGGGTATACATCCAGCAGGTCTAATTGCCTTCGGTGACAATGTGGTTGTTCTCGTAAGAATCAGTCGATCAACTAGCGAAGTGAGACTAACCAAATACTACATACATTGCCACACAGTCTGGCCTCATACATATATATATATATATATATATATGTGAGTGTGTGTGCTTGATGCGCTAGCGAGTTCGTGTTCCACGCATTCCCTAACACCCGACGACTTACTTCTAAGCTACTAACCCGCTCATTCCATCCCACCTGAGCCAGACTACGTAAGCATCGATTGTCGAAAACCACTGGGCGACGGATGTCTTCTACCCGCAAATTCAAGGTCTCACAACCGTAAAGCAGTATACATGATCTTTCAACTTCAGGGAACATTTACGCGCTGACAATAACGCATACAGTGGTGAGACGAACCGAGGTTATTCGATTGTTTGTCTTAGCTACCTTGAACATAAATATGTAAGTGTACGTAACAGACTACGCACGATATCGCTCATCCATCACGAGACTGCACCTTGAAGTGGTGTGATAGCTTGCGTGCCTCAATGACCCTGCGAGCTATACAGGATGACTTCTCATAGCCGTAGATCCAATCATACCTGAAAGGTCAACGGGTAGAGGCCAGAAAAAGCTCAGTCTCACAAAGCCAGCTGTTTGGGCACCCCCTGGCTTCCTTCCTTCTATCCACACCCGCCCCCGGCGAGGCTACTCACACGGTGAGGGGCAGTTTACTGGTCAAAAAACCCCCGCTAGATGGACGTAGGAGCGGGGCACACGGTGAGGGGCAGTTTACCGGTCGAAAAAACCCCGCTAGATGGACGTAGGAGCGGGGTGCCTGGGGCTTCCTCTCGACGATGGGAGAAGTCTTTGCACTTCATTGGACAGCTACCGCACGCCCAAGCTGGGCAGCCCCCAGCCAATAAGGTGCTGTCCCGTTCATGTTCCGCTTGTCTCATTGGGTGCATGAGGCTAAGGGCTGATCCCGAAAAGCGGATCGATAATCAATACACCAGCGAACAACAAACAACCGAAATTCAAAGGTCTTGCGTGATAGGTCTTCAGAAGCTTCCGGCGGGTGTTTCGTTCACGCTCCCGCGTTGGATTTACGCCCCACTGCCTTGTGGGTCAGACTCCTGAGTCAAGGGCTCCGTTTAGGGTTCCCAAAGAAAAACCCCTTCGTCGGTGTGGGCTACCGCGAAGTATGTCACGCCCTAAAAGTCTTAGGCATCCATTTGGAAAACCATCCTTCCCATCTGTCTAGTTCTTCTTCTAAAACCCCAAATAATCCCAGATGCCTTCTGCTTACACCACCCATCAAATATCACTCTGCGTTTGACCATCAAGGCCAGAGATTCAGAAGCTATAAGATTTTTAAAGCCAAAATCCCCTTTTCACTTAGCCGCGTTCAATGTCCGCACGCTCTACCAGATTGGCCAACAAGCTGCCCTGGCTAGAACCCTCGAAACTTTCAACGTAGATGTATGTTGTGTCTCCGAAACACGCATACGAGACCCCAGTTCCATTATCTCTCTGCGTTCTCCTGATCCAACCTCACCCTCACACTTCACTCCTCGTGTATCAGGCGATTCGGCATCCGAAGCTCGCGGTGTTGCTGGTGTCGGGATTGCACCGACCGATTGCAGTGCACCTGAAATGAAGGATGAATTCTACAAGGATTTTTCTCAACTCCTACAAAGTGCT